GAGGGAGGGAGGGAGAGAAAGAGAGAGAGAGAGAGACACATCAATTGGTTGCCCCCAGGATGCACCCCAACCAGGGCTGGGGATAGAACCTGAGACCCTTCAGTGCATGAGCCGATACTCTGAGCCACACCGGCCAGGGCCAACACGCAGCACTCTTGATTAAGAGTCTCCAGTGCAGCCCTGGCCAGACAGCTCAGCAGTTAGAGCATCGTCGTGATACACCAAGGTTGCAGGTTCAATCCCTGGTCAGGGCACATACAAAAATCGACCAATGATGCAGAAATAAGTGAAACACCAAATCGGTTCCCTCTCTCTTGCTCTCTTGCTCTCTGCCTCCTGCTCTCTAGAGTCAATAAAAAAAACATAGTAATGATATAGAGTTTTCAATGTTTCCCATCAGCTAAAGTCCCACCGCCTACCATGGTATACCATGCCCATGCCAGCTTGGCCCCTTTCCTCCTGGGTGATTTCCATCCCTCTTCCCCACACACTCTAACCCTTGTTACCCAAAGCATGGTTCAAGAGCCAGCGGCTAGGTATCACCTGGACGCGTTCAGAAATGCCAAGGTTCCATGCAGGGGACTCTGTCCGACTAACATTTTTCTGCTGCACTTGTCACTTAGCACTAAGCCCCTGATCCCAGAGTGACAATTCCTTCCTGTCATCACCGCCAGTAGGCTGGCCAAGTACCTTCAGAATCATGTTAATTATCAAAGGTCTAAAGAACAGAGAGTATTAATAAATTATGATTCTGTTCTCAAGATAAGTGAGCCAAGGTCATCAACATAAGTAAATGGCCGCAAACCAGAACACGGCTTTGGCAAAGGAAGCAACGTTTGCTAGAAGGGGCCCCAGGAGACCTCTTTGTCTCTGCTGACTCCCCAGTTACCAGGAGAGCAATGCTAGCTCTGTAGTTTAGGATACTGGGGCAAGCAAAGCCTGCCACCTCCGGCAGAGGGTGGAGCACAACGTGGCAGTGCCCAGACGCCCCCTGGGCACATAGTGGTGAATGCCTCCCGCCCTCCGCGTCTGGAATTTCTACCTCATTGCAATGAAAGGATTCCCCGGACACTGTGGCCTTTATCACACAGCACGATGGGAATGGCATGAACTGGGGGGAGGCAGGGGTCAGCATGTGCAAAGGCAGGTTAGCGAGAGGGGTTGAGAGCTGGCGGCATACTGGTCAGAAAGGGAGCAGAGCGGGAAGGGTGGCCAGAGCCAGGCGGGGGAAGTGGCCACACTCCATTGGCTCTGTCCAGCCTTGTGATTCCAGAATGTAAGCTAATGTCAGGTGAGTTTTTCAAGGCTATTTATAGGTGTTAGGTTTTCTGCTTGGGAGCACCTGTCTGCTTCCTCCTGGCTTTCCATCCGCGCAGAAAAGCGGTGGTGAAGGAAGAAGCAAAAGAGAAAACGACAGAGAAGAAAGTCTTGTTTTGCTTCCGCCTGCTGCCTCCCACCCAGAGGCCACTGCAGCGTCTACTGTTGTCCAGGACAGCTCTGGAAGGAAGGGGAGCCCCTAGTTATGGGTGACGGTGCACTCACCTGCCCGGAGCCCCTGAGGCACTGCACGGCCTGCTTGTGGGTGAGGCCACACAGACTTGTTCCGTCTACCTGCAGGAGCCTGTCACCTGGGAGGGAGACAGGTGTCATGTCCATGGGTTGCTGAGGCTACAGGAAGGACGCCTCTGGGATTCCCTGCAGCTTCAGGAGAGGCGGGAAGCAACGCTGCGAGGAGCCCTGCGGCCCTGACTGTCAGGGCTGCTCCAAACACCTCCACAGACCAGCAGCAGAGGACTCCTCTGATGGGTCAGCCCTCTCTGTGCAACCCCATCCTTTCTCCTGGTTTCCTGGGAAACTGTTTTTGAAAGTTTCTTCAAGTCCCTTTGGAATAACATTTATCTCCAGGATGTATTTTTATTTCAGAAAAGGTGAGGGAGATATGGTTGGTGCCAGAGGCACTGGAATTCTAGGGGAGAGGAAGCAAGGTCCTAAGTGCTCTTTCTGGTTCGGTTATGGCTGTTTGGAGAACAGCATAACCCATCCCGTTCCTTTAGAACAGTGGGCATGAGGAAGGCAAAGGGGAGGCTCAGCAGCGTCCTCCCCGACAGTAAGGTGAGCATCGCCAATGTGCACTCAGTCTCCTACGGGAAGCACTGCTTTCTCCCACAAAGGCCAGACAGTAACACGCTTATTTAAAATCTTACATTTTTAGATCCCCTTATGGTTGGTTCCTAATGTGCCACTACAGACATCTGGTTGCTACAGGAACCTATCGGGCTGGTGGGCCAGGCTAACCTGACCCTTTTTTTGGTGAAGAAGCCAGGACCCAGCAAGGCCATCATCTGCACAGGGCCTCAGAGTGGGAGCGTGCTGCGCCTCCAGGCCAGGGCTCAGCATGCGGCAGCATCCTCACCCTGCAGGATCTGCCCTTCCTTGGCAGCTGGTCCTCCAGGAACAATGGATTTCACATAGATCCCTCCATAGGGCACACCTGTGTTAATGCCACCCTGGAAAACACAACAAAAAACTCACTACCTGTCTGCCTTCTCCTGGAGGGCCTCCCCAACCTTCATGACTAAAAGAGCCCCATCTGCCTGCCATTGTCTCATTACTCATCTCCATGCCACACCATCTATATATTCACTCGTTCGCTCATCCCACGCCGTCCATGAGCAGCAAGGTTAGGTACCACAATACGAGCCGTGTGAGGGAGCTGTGCCTGTCCTGCCCCAGCAATGGCCCACAGCAGGTGCTCGAAAATCGGAGCCTCATCAATGCCACACTGTCTCTCCATAAGCAACAACCAGCATAGGTGGATACAGCGACAGGCTGGTGCCTGGCATATCCTGTATGCTTATGTGTTGGTTTGTGGATACAAACGTAGAATTAAACTACACAGCATTCTGCAACTACCTTTTTTAAGTTAATAGTTGATCATGAACATCACTACAGGTCACTAAATAAAGATCTAACTCTACCTTTTACCTCTAATTACTTCATGCAGGTATATACACATCTATACAGATCCTTAGATCAGTGGGATTTCATCACTCCTGTATAGTTTTTTCCTCTCTCCTCCAGGGTCTGCCAGATGGAGCTCACAAACCAAATGCAAAGCGCCCATTCTGAACAGAGGCCTTGCCAACCTGCTTCGTCCTGCCTTGGAAGTGAGGGCTCCAGGCTCTATCGTGACCCTTCTCTGGATGGCCATAGATTATCCCTCTCACCTTTGGCTCGTGTCCCTCCGGCCCCACTCTGCTGCCCTCTCCTTATTGCCCAGCCTAACCTCACAGTTAGGACCCACCACCGAATCCCACTTGCACTGCTCATGCCAAGTCTGTCCTGTGTCTCCCAGCTTGTTTTGAGCTATCTCCCCCCACAAAGGCCCCTGCTGCTTTCATGGTTCACCTATTTCCCATGAGCACATTATCAAAGGTTGCCACAGAAGTGGAATGCCCACCGAGGCTCCAGATGAACATCTTATTAACTATTTGCTTTCTGAGCTACCCAATAATTCTTACAGTTATGCTGAATCCAAGTGTCCCATCTTCTTTAACTAGTTCCACAAAGTAGATTCCACTGGCATTGGTTTCTGCAAGTGATGGAGGACAAGAAGATCCAGCACCCTGCCCCAAAGAAACAAAAATAAAGAAAGCATGAGGACACTTGTCCTGCCTAAGCAGATGCACCTCTTAGCTCTCACCTGCTCTCAGGGACTGAGAGCATCACACACCAAAAGGGGCATGAGCTTCAGGGTTGGGCAGCAGGGGATTTGTTCCCAGTTTTATCAGTTCCTCCCTATATGGTCCTGGACCAGTGTCTTGGTCTCCCCATTCTTGATTTCCAGTCCACAGAACTGGAATGAGAGCTCCTCTTCTAACTGTGACAGTGAATGATGCCCAGCACATAGCAGAGACTCAAAAACTGTAAGTCCCCTCCTATTTCTGCTCAAGATGCAAATATCATTATGAGAACTGAAGCAATCCAGGTACTTCCTGGTAGCTGCACATAGGACACCAGCCACATGCTGGCATGCTGGACACCAAATAGCAGCTTCTTGAGCAGAAGAAAACCTCAAGAGGACCTTCAGTCATCCCGGCAAGAGCAGCTGCACTGGGTTTCCACTTTACAGTGGATGAAGCCTTGAGAGAACAAGAGAAGAATTACCTACCATGTGCCAAGCTTTGCTCGGTATTATGACAAAAACTACGTAGAATTTATTTATTTGTCCAATCATGTACAACATTAATTGAGCACCTATTATGTGCCAGGCACTGTGGAAGTTTCCAGGGAGATGGCAGTGATCAGACAGACCTGCCCATATCAAACTGCTGTCTAGTGGAGGAGGGACTTTTAATGAACTGTGCCCAGAATATGGGGCCATAGACACTCCCAGCCTTTGTCCTATCTGGCCCCTTTGCTTAGCTGCTTCCTAGTCTACCATGTTGGAAAACACAACACCTAGGAAACTAAATGAGATAAAGTAAGCTAAAAATATATCAGCTTAAGAGAAGGCCTCTATGCCCCACTTCCTACAAAAGGGGGCCTTCCATAGTGCAGCCCAGGGTGAAGGTTTCTGCTCTGGAGTCTCCTCCTCAGATTCAAATCCCAGCTCTGTCGCTTGCTGAGAGACCATAGGCATGTCCCTTTCCTCTCTATGCCCACCCAAAAAAAGGAGTGATGATAGTAATTATCTCATAGGCTTGTCATGAAGCTTATGTGAGATACACATCCAAGTGCCCCGGCCCCTCCCCCACGCATTGTTAAACACTCAGTAAATATCTACTGTGAGCCAGTCCTGGGCACTTTTCCCTGCACAGCTCTGTGAATAGACATCATTACCTCAACCACCAAAGATGAAAATGAGGTTCAGAGCTTCAAGTCAAGATGGTAACATAGGCCCTGGCTGCTGTAGCTCAGTTGGCTGAACGTCGTCCTGTGCACCGAAAGCTCCCGGGTTCAATTCCCAGTCAGGGCACATGCTCAGGTTGTGGGGTTCAACCCCAGTTAGGATGTGTATGGGAGACAACAGATTGATGTTTCTCTCTCACATTAATGTCCCTCTCTCTCTCTCTCTCTCCCCCCCCCCTTTCCCTTCCTCTCTCGCTAAACATCAATAAAAACATCCTCAGGTGAGAATTTTTAAAAAAAAGATGATAGTGTAGGTAAACACAGTACTTGGAACCTCTCACAGCCACATCAAAATTACAACTAAACTACAGATCAATCATCATTCAGAATCACATGAAATCTATCTGAACAGAAGTCTTATAATTAAGGATATAAAGAAGAAGCCACATCAAGACTGGTAGGAGGGATGGAGAAGTGGAACAGGCTGGTCCCACACCCATGTGTGGCAGTCAAAAATTGGCAGGGGTATCTCAGCTGCTGAGGCCCTACCCTAAGAACAAGGGGCCTCAGCCTCACACCAGGCCCCCCAACCCAGGGTTCCAGTGCTAGGAAGAGAAATCCCCATAACTTCTGCCTGTGAAAACCAGCAGCGATTCTGGATGAGTGACACACAGGCTGCTGGAGCCATAGACATTCCTCCTAAAGGGCCCATGCACGGACTTACTCAGACTCACTCCCTCTGAGCTCCAGCCCTGGGGCAGCAGCTTGAAAGGTGCTTTAGACATATGGGGAGGAACTGAATTGTCTGGCAACAGGGAGAGGGCTGGAGGGTCAGCTTTTTCCCAGGCAGAAGTGCTGGCAGAGACTGTTGTTGCTTAGAAGAGCCCTCCCCACACAGAACGCTATATCTAAGTCTCTCCATCAGCCTGGCTCATGCTGTTAGCCCTGCCCTAATGATTCCCTGAGACATCACCCCACCCAACTTTTGGATCCACCCAAGCCCTTCTTAGTGGCTTTTTCATACAAATGGCCTGTCTTAGGTCATGCTGCAAACTTTCCCCAAATCTCTCAAACAAGCAGCATCTGGACTCAGCATGCCCTGTACCTCTTGCTAAGTAGCCTCAGCCCAGCACTAGCAGTAGCTGGCCTTGGTTCACAGCTTGGTCTTTCCTGATCACCTCCAAGGGGAGCAAAGTAGTAGCCATCTGCACATTGCTTTGTAGCTCGTGCCAGGTAGCCCCAGGCAGGGCACAGGTGACCTTGGCCTGCACCTCCCTGGAGGTCCCAGAGCCAGCACACCCAGTGGACAGCTTCAGACCAAGCTGAAGCACCACCTAACCATGTCCATGAGTGACACACTCAAGGAGTGAATTCAGTGGGTACCTGAGCCCAGCTGAAGTGAGTGCTGCTCTGTGGGATGCGCCCCTGCACAGCTGATCCTCCACGGTTGTCATAGCCAGTCCTTGCAGCTGATCGGCCTGCGGGGGTAAATCCCTCTCATTGATGTGCCAACAACAATCAAGGCTCAACTACAACAGAAGGATGTACACAGCCTACACCAGGGGGGCTCACCTGGAGCACCCAGCTCAGGTGACCCTAGAGGCTTCACCACTGGGCCCTGCAGGACACTTATTACATAAGGCCTCTCTACCAAGACCAGGAGATGTAGAAGATCTACCTAATACATAGAAACAAAGACAGGGAGGAAGCCAAGATGAGAAGACAAAGAAACATGTCCCAAATAAAAGCACAGAACAAAACTCCAGAAAAAAACAAAATGGACAAAAGCAATCTACTAA